TTTTTTTTTTCACTTTGCTTTTCTTCTGTTACGCCACTTGTCTTAATTAGCTAATTTGAAAAGGATTTGTATCCACCCATTAAAACTCGATGAACACATCAAGGCAACAAGCAGAAGGAAAAAAGTTACCAGAAACAGAAGGAAGGATACAGTGCTGCTTTTCAGCCGCTGAAACACAACAACATTCTCGGCTGCCGCATCTCTCCTTCTCTTTCTTTGGCTTCCTGTTCTTCAGCAATAGCCCCTTCGTTTACCAAACAAAAACCTCTGAATATCAAAACTGATGAAAAAATTTATTTTGAGAAAGGAAGACATCGGAAGATTAAAAAGGATTTTTTAACGTTAAAAAAAAACGATCTTTTGCTGCTTTTTTTTCTTAAATAAGTTGCTTTGTTCTCGCTCATCTTGATTCTTAGCATTTTTTTTCTAATATTTAACATTCTTTCCTACTTACTACTCTCTTCTTTCGTTTGGAAATGCCTCCTAAAAAATCATCGATGTTTGACTAAAAGAATAAACCAAAAGCAAAAGGAGAAGAAAAAAGGAGTAAGAATTCCCCCATTTTTTAAACCGTTTCTCAGGCTTCTTTAGTACTTGCATTCTTTGAAGAAAAAAAAAAAATTTGTATACATTTGCGTACTGCAGAATCTTTCTTTTTTTTTCTTTTTGCTTCGAGAACCAAACTAACTATTCAAAAAAAATTGCAGTAAAAAGAAATTTTTAATGAATTCGATGAGACGACGGCGAAGGGTAAAGCGAAGATGAGGAGGATGGAGTGAGGGTTGGGGAGTGGGGGTGAGGGAGAGGGAGAAGAAGAAGAGAAAACAAAATGCAAATGCAGCGCATATCAAAGTTCAATGAACTCAAAAAAGATTTTAGTTTTGGCTAGAAAAATTGACAAAGAAAAAAAATTTCCACATTTTCTTATAATTAAAATAATTGTGGTTACATATATCTGCGAAGAAAAATTTTTTGTTTTCCTTTTTTTTTTCTTCCTATGCTATATACTCAACAGCTGTTAAAGAAAACTAAAATCTATCATTGAGAAATTGCTATTTTTTGTGTGTATGTGTGGTTACTATGGGGTACCAAAATTAGAGGAGATAAAAAAACGGCAGAAAAGAAATGGTTTTTGTTTTGTGATCGGCTGCAAATCTTAAACAGTTTAATGCGCAGTTTAATTTGACTATTTTTAAATGATCTTTTTTAATTCTCTTCTCCGTTTCTTTTTTTTTTTTTTTTTTTCAGGTTTCTTAGGGATTGAAAGTTGGTGAATGAGAGATTGAAAAAGGTAAACTGGAAAAGAGAAGAGTAGATTGAGGAACTAATTAGCGCATAACAACCTCTAACACGGTACATCCAACACACAGTTAAAAATTTGGGAGACGAAAAGGAAAGACAAGGGAGGTCTGAAGAAGAAAAGACCTTAGCAATGGGTTTTTAGCTAAAATCCCATCATCATCACTGTTTACCATTTGATCGTCTTCCTTTTTTTTTTCGACGCATCAGCAAAACTCGTCGTTTATTCTCTTCGCACTCACTCTATTTTGATAGGGAGAAGATGAAGAAGAGGACTAAGGGCAGGAGGAGAAGGATGGAAGTGGATGAGGAAAAAGAACGATTATTGATGATTATTAAGAAAATTTTTGTTCCAAAAAATACAACGCAGAAAATTTTATTTGCACTCAGGAAAACAAAATTGGCATTTAGTAGCAGCAACGTCTGCAGTACTGCTGCATCTTCTAAATCTGTTGTCATCGATCACCGTCGACGAGAACAAGAACTTATTTATGTTAATAACAATTACCATTTGCATTTTTATTTTCTTGCCTCAACAGATCAAAAATGTTTGTAAAAGTGAAAAGCAATCAACAACGTATATTCAAAAAATATTCAGCAAATGTCCAGTTAGTCTCCATCACCTTATTTCTCGTCCTCTCCAACACGTCTTCTTTGTCTTCGTTTTCTCCATATCTTCGCTATCTTTCATTCCATAACATTTCTCCCCCCCCCCCCTCTGGAAAGCTCATAAATTTGTTGAACCGATCAGTGTTTCATTTACTGCAGCTGCACATTTTTCGTTTGGTCATCATTTTAATAAGCCTAAGTCATTAACTATGCGGGTAACTGGTGGGTTTAAAATTAGGAAGAATATCGGCTTCAAAACAAAAAAGAGGCAATAATGGGCGACCAGGGAAATAACAAAAGGAGAAACAATGATGGAGAAGAAGAAGGGAAAAAAAGAATTTTAGAAAGGAGGGATGGGGACGTCAGACAGAGACCGTGATGATAGGAGTGAATAAAACAAAGATTGAGAAAGCATAGATGAATGATAAAAGGAAGTGATTAGTGGAACAGTTAAAGATGGCAAAAAAAAAGTCACTGGGAAAACAGAGGAGAATAAAAGGTCCAGTGGGAGTGAAGAAGAAAGAAAATATGAGGAGAATAAATAAGAGTGCCTGGGAAATAAAGCGATCAAAGATTCGGTGTGCGAAGAGTTGCTTAAAAATAATATCCCCATGAAGCAACTTTAACGGCTGATACAACAAAAAAAGGGATAGAGAGGAAGTGGAAGGGAAGATTAAACGAGAGAAGAACATACTGAGTAGACTGCAAGAGGATCAAAGAAAAAAACAATTCACATTCTTTTTCGTTTTCTTTCATTCTTTTATTTATTTTTTTCTTTTTTTTCTTTCTTTCTGTCTTTCTTTCATCCTTTCTAAAGTGTTGAAGTGGTTTTAATTGGTCGTAACAAGTGCGATGATAAATATGAAAGAAAACTGGCATTAAGAATGAAGAATATGTGGGTAAAAAAGTGGCATAAAACAAAAAAGGAAGTTAAGACTAGCAAAAAAAAATGAAATAATAAGGAAATAAAACAACATTATCACGAGATAACTTGATGAAGCAAAAATAGGTAACTTCCCGTAGAAGCAAAGGACAGGAATGACAGTGACGTTCGTTTTGACAGTTGCTCTACAGGTTAATACAACAGAAACTGTTCAATGCTTCCGAAATAAACAAAAGGTGAAGAACAACCTGGTACTAATCTTGAGAACCCTTTAGCTTCATCTTCAATTCCCTACCGGTCGCTTAGACTCCGTGAGCTCCCGACATCTATCCTGCCCCTACCCTTTAACTGTCACCCCTCCTCCATTCCCGCCCTCTTTCCCTTACCCCCGCCCACTCCTCCCCGTCCCCTCCAATCCTCCTCCATCGTTGTATGCGACAGCATAACGAAAAACCACCAGAATCAATAAAAGTGACGTTTTAGTGAAAAAAAGCTTCTCCATCTTTCTGGAGCCGCCTCTGTGTCTAAATTGAGATCCTCTTTTGGACATAGTGAAAACACACAAACAGAGAGTGAACATTTCTTTTTGCAATATTATTGCAGTACTATCACAACGCCTTCCAAAGCAATCACAACATTCTCCGTTTTTTTTTCCCCCACATTTTTTTCCTCATTTTTTCTCGATGGTGGAAAATAAAATTATAATAGATCTTCTCATTTTTTGACAAAAAAAATCAAATTTTTATCTATGTTGGTCGATTGCTCTTCTGTTTCATTTGATGTATATCATCCAAACAACAACAACAACAACGACAACAACAACAAAAACAACAACGACAACAACAACAACATTGGAGATCTTCTGCCTACTTGTTGCCGTCATTTCACGACACCTCTTCTTCATCATATCATCATCATCATCATCATCATCATCATCATCATCAGTCTCATCATCATCATCATCATCATCATCATCATCATCATCATTTCCTTCTTCATTTTTATTCGGGGCTACAGCTGCACTCAAAAAAAAAAAAATAAATAAATAAATTTTCCCCTATTCATTTCCATGAAATTTTTTTTTGGGTGTACGCTAAAATAAATATATTTATAATTTACTTTTGTTTATTCTGCAACTGCTGATCTGGTTTAAAAAAACGCTACTGGTCTATAATAATAATTATTATAAAAAATATAATATTAACAATAGTAATAATAATAAAAATAACAATTACATTAATATTATTTATTCTATCTACTTTATTTTGCTGCTTGCCTGAAAGCTGAGAAAAAAAACAATTAGTATCAGTATCAATAGTCAGCAAAATACTATCAACTGCAAAGTATCATTTATATTTACCGTCACTGTCATCAAACAAATCGTCACTGTCATCCAAACGGCAAAATTCGATGACAATTCGTCTTATTGTTCATTATTGTTTTACAACAATAATTCGATAATTGTGTAGAAGGAAGAAATCTTTTTTTTTCTGCTTCTTTTTTTTTTTTTTCATCAACACCAACAACAGTCATTGATAGAAGCTGCTGGAGTGTTGTGTTGTTGAACAACTATTTTATTATCACTATTATTTGACACAAATTCTATATTTGCTTTTTTTTCCCAACAATTAACCTGTAAATTTGACGAACGCCTGACAATGCATGTACGCTATTTACAGCATCAACATCAGGGTACTGTTCAGCTTCTGCTTATGCCACTGATATCGACGGTCAACAAGGGAAAATCGAAATGGTAGGTATTTGTCGAATTCTCTTTCTTTTTTTTTTTTTTTACTTTTTCTTTCTTTATTTTCTTTCTTTAGTCCACCATCATTATTCTATATTTGATAACTGCCAGTCCATTGAACTAAATTAACTAGTTGTTACTGTAGCGCAACTTTTTTCTGATAGTTTACTTTCGTCTTTTATTAAACTATTCTTCACAGGTT